GGAGCAGATCGATCAGCATATCCGAACACCTGAAGAATCAGCTGTGATAAGATTGCATCTGAAACAGGCCTCAGTCATGAAAATAAGCCAGATAAAATGATTAAAGCCCCAACCAAAAACATTTTATTTTGTTGTAATCAGAAAATATGTGGCCCACAGTGAAATGAAGGGCGAAACGTCGGAAAATTTCAACAGAGTGATTATCACTTTACAGAAAATGGTAATCTGGTCGTAAAAACATTTGGGAGAACAGACAATCTTTCCTTTAACTAGCATGCTTTAACTTTTTCTCATTGAATTACGTTTTACTTTAATATTTAGTTAAGACTTCAAAATTCTATTAACTGACAGGATTTAGTTAGGACGCTGGATTGTTCATGCAGTAGGAATAGTATGAGTTACTGTTCTAACCATCAGAGACGACTGTCTTCCGGGACGTTATGCCGCATAGAATGGCGCGAGTTTATCGACGTTTCGGAGGTGTTTGCTGCCTCCATCATCAGGGCATGAGTAAGACTTACGAGGATTAGGTTTGAGGCACGGGAACCGATCGGACAAAGAAAATCCTTAGCCGGCCAGGTAAGGAGGAAGGTAAATATTGGGCGGACCACAGCCTGACAAAAATAAGTCGGAGATGAGTGTACTGGCCGCCGTGAGAACCGAAAAACAAACCTTCAGAGACTTCTGTTAGTTACAATTCCATATTCAATTAGTTTGTAACAATTTCATCTACATGTCTTCTCAGACCAACAACGTAATAAACGTAATAAAACCCAAACACATTTTAATTCTGACTGGATCCTGAAAACGAATGCTGTCCTATACAGTTTAGGCACTTGTTAAAGTTAGAATTGTAATGTTGCATATTTTCATCTTCATGATGCCCAGTTAGACTCCGCCTAACTAAATCCGGAAATTTTCGGTGTAATAAATGTAGAGTACTCTCCAGACCCAAGTTACGAATGTTGAAATAATTCTTTATAATCGTATCATAAACGCGGACGAACTTCCTATTGATGTTACAGTCCCTATTCCTCCTTCAAATGGCCCTGGGTCATTCTCGCGATAGAATATTACAGCCCATCTTCATGGAAACAGCTCACGCTGAAACTAGCGTAACTTTTCTCCGGATAGCGTTCAAAGCTCACCTCCAGACAACTTATGCAATTGGTTGTGAACATCCACAGCCGCGCGCGTGCGTGCATGTGTGTGTGTGTAATATCATGCAGATAACCGCAGCCACATATATCGCGTGGGATTTAAGGCTGCCTCGGATTCATATGGAATTACATTAACTCAAATTAGAATTGCAAGTGAAAGTGGCATATATTCTAGAAACAGAAATTTACATAAAATATAAACACGTGACCGAAAGTAAATTGAGTTTTGATTCATTCTTGGGTTACTTAACGAAACTGTCTCAGTAGTATAGACCAGTAGTATTCAACCTAGGGTACGCGTACCCCCGGGAGTACGCGAAGACATCTTAGGGGGTACGTGAAATTTAAATATATATATATATATATATATATTATTTTATGAAAAACACTGAATAATCAGTAATGTAATTCATCTAATTTATTTTAAATGTAGATTATATACTATGTATAACTTGAATTATACACCGACAACTTTTGGGGTACAAAGTTGAAGAGAAATTATATCTGGGGGTACGAGAACAAAAAAGGTTGAATACCACTGGTATAGACTATACAGTATCGAATGAGATGAAAATATATACAGATACATTGAAAAAATAAAGGTCTGAGTAGGATTTAAGGTTCTCACGGCATAATATGAAGCCGGCAATCTTTCTGGATATAGGTCTGTTCTCCACCAAATACTGTCAACGCTGTCAAATTAAGAATGATGAGATGGGCGGTACATGTAGTAAGAATACAAGAGATTCGAGATGTATACATAAATTTAGTAGAAATCTGAAGACTAAAACGTCTAGCACAGATGGGACAATATCACGCTGAATCTTAAAGAAACAGGGTGTCTCATTGTGGGCTGTATTCATCTGGCACACGATAAGAAACAGTGGTGGACACTTGTCAATACGAGCACGAAGATGTTGCGCAGTAGTTTACCGACGTTTCGAAGGTGCCCACTGCCTCCATCATCACGGCCATATTCAACACGGGAACTTGACTGTCTTTCTGGCAATGCTCAGGTGTCTTCTAGCGTTGGCTCGCAGCGTCTCTCTTTCTTTAACCATCTCACTAAGAGCAAAAGGTGAATGCTTATTCCATTGTATAATTTAGCAGCCTTTCCTTTGCTGTCGTCAAACAAGAAAACTGATACCCCTCTTGAAGCCTTCCAGCAAAGAGCGTGAAACGAGAGGATGCGACCAGTTGCTTGCTGCTTTTCCTTTGAGAGCCTCTGCTGGAATGTGTTTTAGTCGTATCTTGCTGTCAGAGCGTCAGAGCGTACGCTGGAATCTAAAGTGCAGAGGCCACGTGAAAGGTTAGCGGATGGTTGAGAGTCAATAGAAAATCGTCTAATACGCACCCAGTAGTATGAATTCAGTCCATTCAAAATTCTATTTGGAAAACCCGGCTAGATTCTCATCAGTCTAACAATAATGTAAAAGTATCGGTGTAATAAGATACATTTTATTTTTATCCTTATCGGTCCAATACAAACCTCACTTTACACAAAAATCTAACTTTATGAGTTTTTCTCCAAAAAAGAAAGGTTCATCGTAAACAAATTCGGTACGCAGAATAAAAGAGCTTTCGTTAAGCTCCAAACTATTATCTGAAACAGGCCTATGTTTTTATACCATTTAAAAAAAAAAAGCAAAATTAATTTATGAGGTGCTTATGAAGATAGAGTAGATCAGTAAGCTACTTGCTGGATGGCCGGGCTTCGTTTCCTAGAAAAGCAAGACATTTCCTCTTAGCTACGTCCAGAAAGGCTCTGGAACTCACCCA